TCTGTAGATGGGCTGAACACTTTGACGAATTGCTCAACAGACCTGCAATACACCTACACCTACCATACCTGAAGCTGACACTGACCTGCCCATTAATTGTGACAAACCTACCAAAGCAGAGATCCATAACCATAAATCAACTTTAAAATGGAAAGGCTACAGGCCCTGACGATATTCCAGCACAGACACTAAAAGCAGAACTGGACTTTTCAGTAGAGGTGCTATACACTTAGTTTGAGAAGATTTGGGAACAGGAAGAAATCCCAGCAGAGTGGAAAGAGGGCCACCTGATCAAAATTCCAAAGAAAGGGGACCTCAGTCAGTGTTCCAGCTACAGAGGGATCACATTTCTCTCAGTACCAGGAAAGGTCTTCAATAGAATTATCTTTGAGAGATTGAAAGGACTGGTTGACCAACAAATGCGTGACTACCAGGCAGGCTTCCGTTAGAACAGATCACTGGTAGCATAGTGGTTGTCGCGTGAGACTCATGATCGGTAGACCCAAGTTCAAATCCTACCTTAGGCTGAACATCAAAAGGGTCGACCCCTACCCTGAGTGAGTGTGCCACAGACTCAATGGGAAGGCTAATCCACTGTCCGAGATTCATTCACTAACGAATGCGACTTTAGGGGAACCTTGGTTAAGGTCCGCAGGGTGCTTGTGTTCGACCGAGCCTGGTTGACGCCAGGATAGCGCATTAAATTGCCATTTGATAGGGAGATGGCCGCACAGCCTTGTTATGTAGTCCCAAACAGGACATGACTTCTGTGGCAAAATGCACTGTGTCAGCACTTGCACTTGCAATATGAACATACAAAAAAGTCAGGAGAGACAATAGGGTCATTCAAAGTCCGAAACTGTCGCCTGGCACAAAAACAGGCAGATCATGTACTGATCACATTGCTACACTGAGGGTCATAGTTGAACAGTCCAGTCCAGTAGTGTAGAACCCCTCCCTGTATATAATTTTTTTGGACTATCTGAAAGTTTTTGACAGTGTAGACAGAGAGTCACTTTGGAAGCTGCTTAGGCACTATGGGGTCCCCTTGAAGTTTGTCAGAATGATCCGTAACTCATACAAGGGAATGACATGCAGGGTGGTACACGGAGGAAAGCTGACAGATAGCTTTGAAGTGAAGGTGTCAGACAAGGCTGCTCACTCTCACCATTTCTATTCCTGCTTGTCATTGACTGGATAATGAAGAAAGTGACAAATGACAAAAGAAATAATATCCAGTGGACATTATGGATACAGCTTGAAGACCTAGACCTCGCTGATGATGTTGCCCTTCTGTCCCATAACCACAAGCAGATGCAGAATAAAACCACCAACGTAGCAACAGGTCCTGGAAGTGAATACTGTGAAAGAGGATCCGATCAGACCAAGTGATAGACCCCTTGACGAGGTGGAGTCCTTCACTTACCGTGGCAGTGTTGTGGATAAAGAGGGTGGGACAAACACTGATGTCAAAACTCGGATTGGCTAAGCAAGAGCTGCATTCCTCCAACTAAGGAACATTTAGGAAGACACATCAAGCTTTGTTTGTTCAATACAAATGTAAAGTCTGTCCTGTTATATGGAGCAGAAACCTGGCGTACCACAAAGGCAACAACCCACAAAGTACAGACTTTGTAAACAGATCCCTGCGAAAAATCCTAAAAATTCATTGGCTGGATAAGATCTTGAGCTCTAGAAGCAAACCAGGCAGCCTCCCATGGAGGAGAAAATGGAGTTTGATTGGCCACACTTTGCATAAGCAACCATCCAACATCACCAGACAAGCCTTGACATGGAATCCACAGGTAAAGCGGAAACAAGGAAGGCCAAAAAACACCTGGCGGAGGACTTCAACGATGATGTCAGGCACTCAAGATCCACCTGGGGCAGCTTGAGACTGCAGCACAGGACCACATACGCTGGAGAACTGTCGTCGATGGCCTATGTTCGAGGAGGGGCAATAGGCCAAAGTGTGAAGTAAAGTGATGTTCAATGTTGAAATAACGTTTAAACGAAGCTTATACACAAAGTAGAAAAAAAAACATTATCATTAGAAAGATTAGTTACTCTTTACTCACCATGAACCCACCTTGAATCTTCTTCTTACAATGTGCATTGATTACAACAAGACATAAAACTATTATTAATCCAAGTAATATTAAACAGAAGAGTATCCACGGATTTCCGACTAGTATTAAATCTCCCGCATAGTTGATCACTGTGGCTAATAGCAGCATACACAGAACCATTACGAACATGGCTAACCCAGAATTACAATTTTGAAGAAATGATGAACAAACAACTACATGCTCAGAAGTTACACCCTTGTCTGTAATATCTTGTCTTGAAATTTCCTTTTTCTTTAACAGTAAAAGTTTTTCGTTCCTTCGCGGTCTCTTCATAACACCTTGCGTTGCACCAGTACTGGCTGGTTGACTCCGGTGTATTAGTACATTCACCGCAACCACAGTATATGATAACAAACAACCGAGAGATTTGATTTCAATTAGATGTTCTATGTCAAATGGAACTGCTAGACCACCACAGATTACACCGTATGCTAATATTGCAATCACAGGTACTTGGCTGTGCTTGTTGACCTTGGCCAAAGAAGGAAAGAGAAGGCCATCTGTGGCCATCGAATAAATTACCCTAGGGACAGCGTTCATACCTGCAATTAATGCGCCACTAATGCCGCACAGAGCACCAATTCCAACTAGGTTTTTGGCCCAGGTGAGACCACGTGAGTGCAACGCATCCGTAAGTGGTGCGTCAGCGTTGATGTCATAATAAGGAATCATAAGCGTTACCATGACAGCAACACCAACATTTGTCAGAACAGCAACTGTAAATGATATACCTATAGCTATTGGTATACTTTTAGTCGGATTCTTTGCTTCTTCACTCGAAGTGGTGATTACTTCTATTCCGGAATACACAAAGAAACACAATGCAGCACCGGATATAACACCTTTATAACCATACGGAGCGAAACCACCTTCTGTCTGCCAGTTGCCTATATCCATGTAATAAAAACCAACGCATATGAAAAACAATATAACGCATAAATTTATGAAGACTAGTATAGAATTACAGGTTGACGTAATCCTCGCTCCCGAGGCAACTAACAGGGTAACACTGATAGTTAAAACTAAGGCAAACAAGTCTGGATAATCCGCGAATGGTGGATGGTCTACTGGTCCGAAGGTTATGTGGCCTAAGGTAAAGTTGCGAATCTTGAATCCAATCAGCTCGTCAAAGTATGCACTCAACGTACGTGCACATGCCCCGGCACCAGCTGCGAATTCCAGAATAGTAGCCCAGCCCACTAAAAAACCTAGGAACTCCCCCATTATTTGGTATGTGTACAAATAGGCCGATCCAGCACGAGAAACCTGGCAACCAAGTTCAGCGAAGCAAAGTACCGTGAGAAGTATAGGAATTCCTGCGACGAGTAAAGATACTGAGACTGCAGGTCCAACAATGTTCTTTGCAAGCGTACCAGTGAGTATATATAGACCTGCTCCGACTGCAGCACAGATGCCAAACATAGTTAAATCCATTGTAGAGAGGCATCTCTTCAAGGGAGTTTCGTTCATATCAAATATCAACGTTTTTGTACGGGTAATTCTACTCCACATGTCTGGACCAAAGATCATGTTAGCTAATTCTTGTTTAAAATAAGAATACGTAACTCTTCAATATGTGTCGCTCCTCTGCGTAAAAGATGTAGTTATGTTAACCTACAACAACAATTGTTATAAAAGGTTAAAATATTCATGACGTCATAATATTCATGGAAAAATTGTATAGCATACGTCACAAGAACGAAAACAAATTACACTTTCCATTCTCTGGATATTCAACTTTTCATCAGTATTATGTAGTCCGCCAACTTAATTATACAGGATTTTGGGTAGAGGGTGACATCATATCCATTGTTGTTTACAATTGAGAAAAATGCTTTCATCTATAAAGTGAGAATTACTGACGCGAATTAGTTCAAATTTGTGGTGTGCATATTACTCATGTATATAATTATTGTAGAACATAGAATTACAAATACCCATAAAGTGAAGACATCGCCAAAAACGAAGAAAAATATTTTAGTCGCTAAAAAGAGAATTACACTTTTTTGTTCTCTAGGAGATATAAGGAGATGTGAGCATTTGGTAGAAAAACACAAAAATTAATATTTTCAGTTATGTTGCCATGACAACTATTTTATATGCATGTTTGGTACCAGTACCAGCCAATTTGAAGTTCAACTTTTGAAGTTATAGATGAAATAATTTTCTCTATTTCTGACAACAGTGGGTATGATGTCATACTTTACCCATGATCCTTTGCTGGATAATTAAGATGGCGAACTACATAAATTGATGAAAAGGTGAATATTTAGAGAATGATGAGTGATATACAAAAACTGTAAATTGCATATTCTTACATTTGCCGATTTTTTTCATCTGGGAGTATTATGTTGTTAGACTTTACTCTTCCTTAGATAAGTTCTCAATTAAGATGTGCAAACTAAAAATAAATGTGTTCACAAATGTGTTTTTGTGTGTGACCTACACATGGTGACGATGCATCTTATATGCTGCACATTCCAGCGATCTTAAATTATCTTGGGAAATGAAAAAAAAATCTAACTGCATCAACAAGTTGTGGAATACCTTTCATTAACTTTCATAGTTGTGTTTTGTATAGATCATTTGATACTATTATCTAAACAAATTTCAATGTTTGTATAATGATGTATGTTTTAAATGAAATATATAGTGCATAATCACCTTATCCTAATAGTAATTTGCAATATATGACATTCCAAAATTTTTTTATAATGAATCAAAGATATTTTAATTAGAATCAATTCTGAAAAAAAATATCATTGATCATTTGATTTTGCAATAATTTCTATACAAATTTCGGATTTCTTCAATTTTCATACTCATGTATATATTGAATTGGTAAAAGATTTATTGTTCAAAATATTATTCTTATATTAATATGGTGAAAAGTCATGGTAAAACTATCAAGACTCTGGTTTGTGTTTCGTATATACCGATAATCAGTGTTAAATTCACGCCCAATAAAACAATATGTGGCGTACTAAGGTGCACATTCAGAAAGCATTACTACGTATAATGAAAACAGGAAAAACCACAGATTTTCACTAATCAGGAGGATTACATTTATAATACAGGCAATACCAAATGTCGAATCAGACGAACCTCGGAGGCATATACTAAATACGGAAAGATAACACGAGAGATTTATGACCATTTTTATCATCTGTAATTATCCAACTGAGCCTCGCCGTGCATTAGAATTTAATTGAATTGCGCCAAGTTACAGACATATCTAGTTTCCGGTCATTGGAATTTATGTGTGTTACTTTGTTTGGAGCGAAACAATGGCGCATCAATTTGTTGGACACTCATTCTATTTCATCTATACAGCAGGATACATGGCGGTTATTGGATGGGTGGCTAATAGTGGATCAAAACCTGCACGGGAAAATTACATTAATTAATTTTCCCCGTGTCACAATGCTCAGCTTAGGTTGAATGTCACTTACTCAAGTAAGTTGGATCGCAAAATCGAGTTTGGTGTGAGAAAACGCGTCAAGGCTGACCGCATGTTTGTCAGATCACATAGACCAGTCGGTTGACATTTATGTGCCCCGTTATAATTAACTAGATAATTGTATTACCATATCATTTCCCCCAATAACGTCAGTTAATTGTCTCGAGTGTACAGCGCATTAAAGCATAAACAGTCACATCCAGAGCTTCTCTATTTTGGAGTGTTCTTCTACCAATTTTATAAATTGTATTACCATTATATTGAAAATAAATTTGAAGGATGACGAATTGTCAATATACATAGGCTGTTATAAATAGCTCCACTCCAGCGGATTTATTAAAAATAGTTATCGCTTGGCCTATATGGTATCGTGAGTTATCAATGTGGGAGTATGAACAATTGAAAAAAAATGTTGTATAAAGAAGAAATGAACTCGAAATGTGGTCATATTGTATTAGACATAGCTTATATAACCTATGTTGAGATAGTGGTCGCGTCCATGATCATTGCGTCATTTTTATGCCTAAATAAGCAAATTAGGTATGGGCTATTCTAAAGTTTCAATGGTAGAATATAATAGTAGGCTTAAAACACAATTCATACATAGTAGGTGTACGATGGCTTTGTGTGGCGTGGTTATTTTTTGTTCTAAATTTAATATTAATATTATAACAAGCATTGTACTTGGGACCACAATTTAACATTCAGACAAAGAAAACTGTGAAAATAAACACATTGTTAATAATAATTTGTAACAACTCATAATTGTGGTGAATATATTCGCATATAAGCCCCTGTTGTTTCCTGATAGATCGTGACCCGACCTGACCTCGCAGTGACCTTAATGTTCAATAGAGAACCTCTTTGCACATTGTTCATAACATATCAAATATAGTCATAGCATTCACGATAGGTTCTAATCATTTCACCGCAATATGGCATCTGTATACTATAATACCCTTAAATCAAATAAACAATATTCATAAAATTCAAAACACTAATTACATAAACATCTTTTAAAAAAAACAGTTGTGGTCCAGGCGGAGTTGTTGATCTGAAATTAAGACATATTGAAAAGCGGAAAAAGGAGCATGAAGCCTGTTGGCCTCAGACGAGTAAATAAAATTACGTTAACTCGTGGTCGGTAGTTTTTTTTTATTGTTACCTTCTTGGAGGTCCTTCATGTACCTGTATGCTATCCTCTTAACACGCGGTTGGCAAGCCCCAGACATTAAAAAAAAACATGAAATAAGCATGTAATAGCGTTGCACAATTCAACCGTGCGCATCAGTTGGATGTACACTCACCCGTTCGCTCTATGTAGCAGGACACATGGCGGTTATTGGGTGGCCGGGCTGCTGATTAACGAATTTATATATTGCCGACACACAAAAATGGATCTAGCCGAGTTGGTATGAGAGACCAGTTGGCTGACATTAATTTGCCAGAATTCAGTAGTGACTCGTCTTACCTTATCATTTTCCCATTTGCGGAGTGCACAGTGTGTTAAAGCAAAAGAACTTTCCCATCCACAGCGTATCAAATTTAAAGTGCCCTGCCCTGCTGCCAGTTTTCGAAATAATATTATTATAATGCGGATTACTGGATAGCTGTTATAAATAGCTCTAACCAAAGTGTATGCACCGTCGTTTGTTGTAATTTAATTCAATGAATACAATGAGCTCAACGGAAAAAAAAAACAGTTGACAGATTGTTTTCACTGGTAGATTATGCTTGTTTTGTAGTAGTGTTCACGCTGCACGAAGTATGGGCTAAGATGTAAGCTGATTTAGGCTTATCTCACATATTTGCATTTGGACTAGACCCAATTGGAAGGGTCAGTCCTTAGCACGAGCTAAGGGGCTCCATCAGTCGGTGACCTTTGTTAAGCCGCTGTTCACGAAACAAATCTTTCTAATTTAGCTTGCATATTTTGGTAAACATTTTTTCGGTTCCTCGGTGAGGAGTCCAACTGTCTCAACATTCCTCTGTCTTTCCATATTCTCACAGTAAAGCTTTTGTCTCTTCGTCGCTCCAGTTTTTGCGAGGGAACGAAGTTTTGTACACACTGAGCTCGGTTGCCATTTTGGAAATGAGAAAGTTGCATATATATTTGATCACGTACATAATATTCACACCCAAAAGTCGCCTCAGAAGGCGCTTAGCCCTGGAATAGCGTTCGCGTACACTTCGTTAACCCGCGCTAAGGGCCAGCCAGACCCTTACCGCGTCTTAAAATCAGATCAGATTTTACCCGTACTTAGCTTTGTGAAGCCGCTGTTTACGGACGCAAAATTTCTGCTGCTGACATGTTTCGTTTTAATGTTGAAGCTACAGCGACCAAATCAGCGTGAAAGCGTGTGCGGAGTAATAACTGGTGGGATAGACGACTTTCCTGAAAGTCAAAGATATGGTGTTTCACATGCGCGCATGTCGTTTTGGGGTGTAACGTAAATTTTGCACGCGTGTCATTGTTCTTCTGAGTGCACCAATCAACGTAACAAAAATAAAATTCCCTTCTATCGGCTATCAACAAACCGACATGTTGTTCTTTTACTTCGGGGAAAGTCGTCTATAGAGTCATTATACGAACAGAGGACAAAACAACTTTTGTTTAACTGATTAACTTTTCGTTTCTTAAATTTGAACATTTTTTTCTTTAAATCATGCGTCTTCTAGGTTGTGTCTTTGTTACGTCTGAACTCGTTTATCTCCATAGACAATTGAGGAAAATGAACGATTGACTGTAAATTATTAGAAATGAAACACAAATTAGCTATGTTATACACTGTAATCAAGCAGTATGTATGTTGTATATGCATATTCAAATTAGTATACATGTTATACATTATCGCGTCACGTGAAAACAGTTGATACCTCAAAAACGAACGCCACATGTCAAAAATTCATTTGGTTCAATATGCCCCTCTCATTTTAATATTAGACTCTCCAACAACCAACATGACTTAAACTTCGCTAGGTAGTTCGCTTTTAAAACATCCAAATATGCCAAAACACTGGACACTCATTCCCTGAGATCTGCCATTACTTGTTTTATCAACAACATCAT